ATTACTGCAAAAACGATATTGTACAATTACACAATGGCTACAATGAGGAGCTCCACTTTAATGTTATTATTATTATTATTATTATTATTATTATATTATTATTATTGTTATTATTATTATTATTATTATTATTATTATAACTAATCTGAATGCATGCATGCTAGTGCAATTTTTATAAATGTGTCTTACGTCGAGATATTTCATTGCATTTCATCATCATTAACTTTCGTATTCAATTTATAGGCAAATCTTTGCCAGCTACCTTAGGGGTTCCAGTTGACATTAGAGCCTTATGACGCGCTGGTGCAACAGTTTTTATCCAAATAGTCTGAACCGTAATGCATGCTCACTGGATGAAGACGCACTGCCTATCGCTGTGTTTGTGCTGGCGAAGATAGAAGACTCGATGCTCGACCCTCCTGCCTTCTGAGGTTGGTATACACGTGCAGTTAGTCCGCTAGTTTAAAGTTGAGTTGTTTTAACTAGACAACTGAAAACAGGAGTATGAAGTCAGTTATCAGCTTAATTAAATCCGGATAATCAGAAAATTTCAAGTTGTATAAGAAGTTTTTTTAAAAATTTAAGAACTAGTTAAACCTGCAAGGTAAAACAGCCCCTCGGTCATAGGACTCAGGGAATGGGGTTGAACATCACATTTATTAACTCAAACTGGGGAATTAACACACGCACACGAAGGGAAGAGGCTATCTCCCAGCCTCCGCCCCACTATATACAATCCCGTAGTCCCGCCCCCAGGGGCTGTTCTCAGCCCGCCTTGCATGGCTAAAGAGCCCCGCGTGTTGCTACAAATTGTATTACAATATAATTATGTTTGAGGAAAAAGCTCCTGTTGTGTATTTTTTTTATATTCAAAAGCATAAAGTCAATTAAGTACTGAACCCATAAAATCTTGTTTAAAGTGATAAGTTGGCTCCTAAGTCAAGTCTTAATCATTTTTCAGTAATTTTCCTTCAAAGCTAAGTAGAACTTAATAATGAGTACACTCTTACAGGACCCATTGCTTTGCAGTAAGTGAATAGAGACAATACATCCATCCATTTTCTAACCCCTTTTCTAATTCAAGGTGATGGGGGAGCTAGAGCTTGTTTTGGCAAGTAACGCACAAGGTAAGGCACACCATGAAGTTGGTGCCAGTCCTTTACTGGACACACACACTCATACCAGGGCAAGTTTTACCCAAAGCCAATTAACCTACCAGTATGTCTTTGGACTGTGGGAGGAAACCAGAACACCTGGAAGAGAGACTATATATAAATATTGTGTGTTAATCCAATATATGACCATTGTTGATAAAATAATGTTTTCATACAAAAAGTGTTAAACTAAAATGTGTAACTTCTGTGTTTTATCATGTTCATAAGTGTGAAAATCAAACTCAAAACCTATAACATATACTAGGGAAATAACACTAAATAAAATGTAGTGTCTCTTATTCAACTTTAAAACACCAAACCTATTAAACTTACTTTAAAAAAAATTTGATTCACAATGCAGTTTTTAAAATTCATAAAAGCACATAATTCAGAAGCCATGGTAGATGGCAAGGGTGTCTAGCTCCTGGTTAGAAAGTCCTGGGTTCAATCCCATGTAGGGACAAACTATGTAACTTGCTCTAAATCCTTCCAGATCGTCACCAGGTCCACTCAGCCTGCTTTTCAAATGAGTATTGGTGGTTTATCTGGGGGTCTTCTGGGGATAATAGGCCGGCCGGACCACATCACCTCCACCTCCAGTGTTGGATGGTTGAGGAAAAAAGGCCCTTGCCCCCCATCCCCCCATGGCCCTTTATGGCCTGAAAAGGGACCTAACCTACCTAAAACACATAGTTTAGGAATGTCTATATTCCAACTGTGACTCAGAT